AAAAAAAGGGTAATATCATGTCAGCTTAATGGACTTTTTGGTGACATGAGTAAAACAGGAAGCTGCTGTTAATGCAATATCTTTATTGAAAGCTGGGTACAGCTGTCTCTCCTGCCTCTTTTCTCAAGGTAATACTATGCTCCCAATCCTGTCATACCCAGGAATCAAATTATTTGAATTCTGGACACATCAGCACAAAACTGAAGACACTCTGCCAGATCCACAGTATGCTTGGAAAAGAACATCGTACAGCATCACTCATTTATACGACTGTCAGTCTGGTGCTGTAAATTCACAAGATATGGAGGCCTCAGGTGCCACACTTTTTGTCTCTCTGCTCCTCAATAACCTTCCTTCAATATCTCTACCCTATGTAAGCTAACATTTCATCTCTGAGCCATGTAGCTTTCAAATATCTGCCAGGATACTCAGAGGTTGTCCATGCTGTAAATTTGAATGGAAAACTATGCATTAAGGTGACTACTTGATTACAGTCACCCAGAAAGATTCATGCCAGTTCTGAGATATGCCTTTGGAGAAGAATCTGCAAAAAGTTTGGTAGATCTAAACTAGAATATAGTTGGCACCTACTGACTACATCTATGGTAGGTTTACCCCCTGCTCCTCTTTTATTAGATGGTTCATTTGTAGGCAGAAGAAATTCAATAGGACAACTCATTTTCTCTTCTGCTCTTTGCCAAAAAGAAAATACAGTGCAATACTTAACAAAAAATCAAGACACAGATTGTTTAATTAACATTCATATTCATTAACCACCTAGATTAAGGTGAGGCTCACATAAGATTAAGCCTTCACATAAACAACGTGTATCAACTTTTGTGACATTGGAAAAAGGAATCTATCTACCGTATTTTTCGCTCTATAAGACGCACCAGACCACAAGACGCACCTAATTTTTGGAGGAGGAAAACAAGAAAAAAATATTCTGAATCGCAGAAGCCAGAACAGCAAGAGGGATCGCTGCACAGTGAAAGGTGCAATCCCTCTTGCTGTTCTCGCTTCTGGGATAGCTGCGCAGCCTGCATTCGCTCCATAAGACGCACACACATTTCCCCTTACTTTTTAGGAGGGAAAAAGTGAGTCTTACAGAGCAAAAAATACAGTAATAAATATCTAAACAAATCAGCAAGTTACTTAATAAGAATAGAATAGAACAGAACAGAATAGTTGGAAGATATCACAGGGGTCATCTATTCTAGTCCAACCCCCTGCAATGCACGACTCACAGCTAAATAAAAGAGTAATCTGTTTTAGTGGTGGATGCTGGGGGGTTGAGGGACAGAACAGCACGTCATATGGCTTTCCCTGGGTGCCCTACACTAGCCTGCTGTCCTCAGGTGTGATAGAAAATGATGTTCCACCATCAGTGCTGGAAGTACTTCTTAATCAGCTTTCCAGTTGGCTTCCACACATGAAAATCGTGGAGGCACCATCTTGCCCTTTGACTCTGGCAGCAAAATTCTTGGAATGGTTCTGAATTTTCTCACTAAACTATCAGCAAGATTGTATGAGTGCAGTAAGTTGTGAGCCGGCTTTCACATCAGTGAGTTGTGTTTGGTGTTCTCAACATGCTCTCTCTCTCTCTCTGTGTGTGTGTGTGTGTGTGTGTGTGTGTGTGTGGAGACAATGGTCCAGTAAGCTCTGTGCAATGGAAGTGGCAACACATTGCGACTGGAATTTATTGTGGTTTAAATTTATATTGTGTCTTTTTGAAACCAGGCACCAAGGCAGTTAAAACAAAAGTAATATACAAATACAATACAGTGGCACCTCAGGTTACATATGCTTCAGGTTACAGACTCCGCTAACCCAGAGATAGTACCTCAGGTTAAGAACTTTACTTCAGGTTGAGAACAGAAATCGTGCTCTCTCACTTTATTGGCCAAGGGAGCCGGCGTACAGCTTCCGGGTCATGTGGCCAGCATGACTAAGCCGCTTCTGGCAAAACCAGAGCAACGCACAGAAACGCCATTTACCTTCCCGCTGGAGCGGTACCTATTTAAAAAAAAAAAAAAGAGAACAGAAATCGTGCTCCAGTGGCGTGGTGGTAGCAGGAGGCCCCATTAGCTAAAGTGGTGCTTCGGGTTAAGAACAGTTTCAGGTTAAGAACAGACCTCCGGAACGAATTAAGTACTTAACCCAAGGTACCACTGTATAAAAGTCAATGTAATGCAACAAATTAAACACACACAAAACACAGTAAATAAAAACAAGAGCAGGTTAAGGACAGTCGCCAGCAACAATGCAAACTAGCGGTCTCTTTCCTTATTTGGATGGTGGATGCAGTTGGCTTACCATGAGGTTCTATTCCCTGTACATGGGAAGTTCGGACACTTGTGGCTACAGGGATAAGTATGCTGAAGAATTGCCTTTGGAGGGGTACAGACTAGATTGACACTGAACATTTATTGGTGTTTAGCACACATGGGAAATGTGACATTGTGTCTGATCAATGACAGGGGAGTTGCTAGGGATGCTGTGGGGTCTGCTGCCAATGTTGCTATGTTAGTAAAATAAAAAAGTAAATTATAAGTAAAATAAGTAAAATTAAAAAGTAGAAACAAATGCTATCTCCTTTGCTGTTGGGAGTACAGTCATACCTCGGGTTAAATATGCTTCAGGTTGAGCATTTTCAGGTTACGCTCCGCAGTGACCCGGAAGTAACGGAACGCGTTACTTCCGGGTTTCACCGCTCGCACATGTGCAGACATGGCAAATTGCCGCTTCAGAATGCGAATGGGGCTCCGGAACAGATCCCGTTCGCATCCAGAGGTACCACTGTATATAAATTCATACACTCGTGTTAGCCTTGGCACAACAATCAGCCCAGCATAGCTGAACCACAGGACCAGCCTATGTTTAGGATTGCAACTAAAGCAAAAGATTTGGGGATGTAAATATGACCTCTGCCAGGCACATACTGTTGATTTAGAAAGCCAAATGATCAACATGCAGTTTGTTTACACCTTAGTCTTGACTTGACTATCTCTAAAAGAAAAAAGGCAACATGTGTTACATAGATACGAGCTCACAGAAAGCAGACACGGCATCAGTGAACTTCAAAGGAGAATTTCTAGCTCACTCACTTGGGAGTTACAGTAGTTACATTGAACTCAGTGGGACTGACTTTTGAGTTAACATGCTTTTAGAATAGAAATGGGTGGAATTGTGGTTTGTTAATAAGATGTACACCGTAATTACTTTCCATAATAAAAGATACTAGGGCTAAAATATGTCTAGATATCTCATCCTACATTCCTGGAAATCTTGCTCCAAATCCAGATGCATCTGGGAATCAGTAATGAGAAAGGTTATTTATGACAACATAAGTAAGGGCAATCTGCCCATTATTATTTCATGTATTCCACGGCTGAACCAACATTATGAAAAACATATTCTGGCACTCAGGCCTGACTGCAAGACCACTTTAAAAAATAGCATAAACAAAAGTTATCATAACCATTCGATAGCAGCTTTTTTATTAATTCCACCCAAAGTAGATGTGTTCTATGGAAGGCAACAAATTTTGGGATTACCATTTTATTGAACCCTTACATTAAAGCTCTTCAGCTGTAAAACATCTTCTTTTTACATAATCCAAGTTGTTACCCAAGTTTCTGAGAAGTGCAGCACACTGAATGTGCATTTCATAGATTAGGGTTATCAGCTACTTCATTACACAGTTACAGGCTCCCTCCTAAAACAGCTGAGTTTTTCTTGAAGGAATGGAATTGGTGTCTTGGGCAAATCTGACACATGCTCAGGGCTGGATTAAGATATTTAGGGGTCATAAGCACTGAAAAGATTATGCCCCCCCCCCAATAATTCAAAATAAAATCCAGATCGGTAATTCAAAATAAAATCCATGAGCTTTAGGAGGAAACCGATTTTCTAGATCCATCTCAATCTGGGTTTAGGCCCGGTTTTGGCACAGAAACTGCTTTGGTTGCCCTGTATGATGACCTCTGTTGGCAGAGAGACAGGGGGAATATGTCCCTGTTAATTCTCATCGAACTCTCAGGAGTTTTTGATATTACTGACCATGGTTTCCTGCTAGAGCAGCTGTCTGAGTTAGGGTGGGTGGCAGTGGGGGAGCTTCATGCTCCTGCATTGGGGGCAGGATAGCAGGCGGGGTGGGGCTGGTGCGCATCCCGGGGGCATGGTGCGCCACCCACAGGGGCGGGGCGTGCATCCTGGGGGCAGGGCATGCCATCTGCAGGGGCGTGGCGCCCAGCGCAGGGGCGGAGACAGTCACGATGGCACATAGCTGTCAACTTTCAGATTTGAAAATAAGGGATCAGCAGCCTCGAAAATACGGGATCAGCAGCCTCACCTGTCCCGGGAACAGTCTACGGGATATCTAACAATCCGAGATAGCAGCGGGAAACGGTACTGGAATAAGGGACTTTCCCGCAAAAAAGGGAAGGTTGACAGCCATGCGATGGCACCCTACTGGGATCGCACTGCCGGGGGCACTCCTCTGCCAGTGGTGGGTGGCATCACTTTGCGGTAGTTCAGGTCCTACTTGGATTGGTTCTACTTGGATTGTACACAGCCTGGCGGTACTTTTGCATCCTATTGCTGTTGCTTGAAGCTCAGGTGGCCTAGAGTGGAGTTACCGGAGTAGGATGCGAGGAAGTCTAATAAAGCCCCGCCCTGCCCCCAGTGATGCCTACTAGTTGATAGTTCTTTTTTAAATAAATTTTTTAAATTAATTTAATTAAATAATTAAAATTAAATAATAATTTTAAATAAATAAACAAACCTCAAATTCAACCTGCTTCGCTGGCGCCCTAACTAAGCACGTGCGTCGCCTTGCCTACTGCGCGCGCTCGAAAGTCAAATCTTGCAGACCCAAAATTGGGAAACGGGAAAGCTACACCTGTTGCATTTCTGCCTGCTGCAGTGCAGCTGTTCAAAGGAGCCCTCCAGGCCCTCCAACCGTCCAGGCGAGAAGCGTTTTGTGAGGCTTTGGATGCAGCAGCGCGTCCCTTGAGGCCAGCCCAGCCCTGTGTGTGTGTTTGATAACAAACCAGCGTGAGGGGCGGGAGATGCCTGCCAGGCGGGCAGGAACAAGCCGTAGGCCGCGCTTCGCCCTCGCCCAGCCCAGCCCGGCCCCAGCTGAGCGGGGAGGAGGAGGAGGAGGAGCCTCCCACTCCGGAGCCGAGGCCCGACCAGAGAGGCGTCAAGATGGCGGCGTCCGTTGAGCTGGACTTGCAGCCCCTGAGCCTGGAGTCGCTGCCCACAGACCCGCTGCTGCTCGTCCTCAGCTTCCTGGATTACAGGGACCTCATGAGGTGCGGGGAGCCCGGAGCCCGGCGGGCCTTAATGCGGGGAGCTGGCGGGGCAGGGCGGCGCTCTCGGGGCTGCCTTTGGGTTCCCTTGGCGGCGCCAACCGTGGGGAAATGGGGAGGAAGAGGAGGAGGGTGGCGGCTGCTGCTGCCGCCTTCTCGGGGGAAGAGAGGGCCATGGCGATCCGTCTCCTTTCACCGCAACCACCACCCAAAAAACCCATCAATGGCGGGGCTGCGCGTGCAGGAAACATCTCCATGGAGAAGCTCCCGAATGGGAAGGAAGAGTAGGGGATGCGAGGCTTGGGTTGAGCCGAGTGGGGAAATGGGGCGAGGGATAGCCCATAGCCCTGGTTATGGGAGCTGGGTCGATGGCCCTGTCTGTGGGGAAGCGGCCCCCAACCCATCTCCTTCCCCCCCCCCATCCCCCTGCAAGAGCTCCTGGTGCTCTGGGCTGCTCTGCATTGCACATTTCTGGAGAGGCTCCTGCCGTGGGTCCCAAGTGGCTTCCAAGCTGGCCCTGCGCTGAACAGGTTTTCTTTCACCACAGCGCGGCTGTGTCAACAGGTGCTTGCTCTGGGCAACGTGCTCGAAGCCAGCCCTGCCCTAGTGACACCACATGGTGGATGCTTAAAATCCTCTCGGTGGCAGAGGAATAGATTGACAAGGTTTGTGATATGGGGTGTGTGTCTTCCTTTGTGCAAGGTAGCTGGGGGCTGGACTTGATTGAGCGCCACAAAGCTTAGGGCCAACTAGGTGATAGGTGAGTGTAACCATCTCCTGACATTGTTTTTTAAAAATAAAAAGTAACCCTCTCCTGACAAAAAGTAGCCACAGTGTGCTGTCCTTATCAGGTAGCGAAATGCAGGAGGTGAAATTAAGCCTTTCCTTTTCTACTTCTTTAAACTCAGAATTGTCCCTTCCCAGGCTGCTTTTCCACATGCAGTAGAACATGTATTGGCTCCCATATATTTTCCCTTAAGAAGTGACCAGAGAAGAAAAGTAGCCCCTCTTCATTCCTCTGATTAAATTTGAAACCTGCTGAGGCTTCTTCTCACTTAAAGCAAAACCACAGGACTATTTTTTTCTGGAAGATGCATTTATGTCTAGTTTGGCCCTTGACTGCACATACTTTAGATGAGGCTAGCATTGACAAGGCAGCTTGGAAGTGGAACCTTTTAGTTTGAGCCAAGCTTGCAAAGTGCTGAGAGCGAGTTGTTTTGTTAATGTCTGATCATGAAAGCATAGTAAAACTTTGACATGTTCTGCATTCCTTGCAATGGAATTATTCACTTCCAGGATGTTTCTGTGACCCTCTGTTTCAAAACCTGAGATAATCGTGGAGCCAAAATAGATGGACCTCTCCCCTGAGGGAGTTTCCATATATTAATATAAAATTGACTTTAAAAGAAAAAGCCTTTGTTTTACTCTCCTTTGCTTTACAATTTCTTTAAAATGGCTCGTGGAGTGTCCCTAAATTTCCAATTATTTGTATTTTTTGTGTTTAATGTTATAGATACTATAGTGTCTGCCTCAGTTTGTCTCTATACACTATGATCTAATCTGATGGTGGTGGTAAATATATTCTGCTGTATGTACTGTGCACCCAAATGACAATTCATAGTTTTTCAGTGTTAATGGAAATTCTGTAGAACCTGTAGGGAGGTGTGTACTCCATTGTATTAGGATATCTTATTTAATGTGCTGAGTTTGACATCTGTTAAAGCCAAAGTTAAGCACAGATAATTGGTGTGCTTTATAAGCAGCCCAACAAAGGCTTGGCAGAATTCCCAATGGTTGGAAGATGGGACTTAAGTATCCCCTTTCATTTCCTATGGCAATGATTCCACATTCCCTGCCATTTATTTCATCTGTCCAAAAGCTCACCTTAACTCCATTTAGTCCTTTCCAAAAGGTGCAAATTAATACAAAAACCAAAGCTGAGAATTGTAAACACTTGGCAAAATAGCAAATACATACAAATGTGCAACATTACTGGGTTTATGTTACCATGATGTTGCCTCCCATATATGTCACAAGTAGTACAATTCAAATAATTTATACCAAATAGGTTTCTGAACATACAGTTGAACAAACTCTAAATTAACTTGCTCTTCCTGAAGTAGTGATTACGACATGAATTGAATCTCCTGCCCTGAGAGGTATCTCTGATGAGAATAGATGAAAAACCAAAGCTAATTTATTTTAGCTTTTAAGATTAATTTTCTCCCTTGCCCTCTACAGAGGGGCTAGGGTATTTTTTTTTTTTTTTTAGCTCTTGCTCTCTATTTTTCTCATATTCATCATAACAAGTTGGAAGCTAATGCCCTAACTTGGAGAACTCCAGTTATTTGAAAATTTGGCCCGTATCCAGCCCATTACCAAATCCAAGCACCAGTCCAGTTCCTGAACAGTCTCACTTGATTCTGATGAAATAAACAAAGCTGAATGTCATCAACATACTGATGACTCCTCACTCTAAATCGTCTTCTGATCTCACCCAGCAGCTTCATACAGATGTTAAAGAGCATGGGGTGGGGCACAAAATGAAAGTGTCCAGAATTCCACAACACAGCTGCCATGGAGAAAATGTACAAAAGTGTGGGTTAATTTAGAGAATTGAGTCTTAAAGTGTGAAATCATGTGTCAAATTTAACTTTAAAAACTGGAAATTCTCCAGCATTTCTGTACAAAGTACAAGTGTAATCATTACTGAACCTAGTTTTAGTCTGACTTGTAGAAAAATTTAAACTGACTTTGTATTTGCAGCTGCTGTTGCGTAAGCCGTAGATTAAATCAGTTTTCAAGTCATGATCCACTGTGGAGGAGGCACTGTAAGAAATATTGGCTTTTGTCTGAGTAAGTATGGCTAGTGTTTAATTTACATAAAATGAGAAAATTATTCAGTTGTGTTACCAGTTTTCTGTCTGGTAAATTTACAAGTTTTTGTAGACTACTTCTTGGATTAAAAGTTGTGTGCATTAAAAAATAAATTTTGAAATAGCTGAAAAAGTATGCAAGGATCAGCTCAATATGAAATAATCTGTTAGTAAATAATAGCTTCCTCCTGCAAAGATGCTAGGTGGTGCTGATTCTCTAGTAGATATACTAGAATAGCTTAGCTTGTCTAAGTCGTAGGGTAGTTCTATGAAAAATGTTGCAATATTCTTATCCCATAGGTTTTAATTGGAATCTAATTGGATATCAGAAAATTGCATGTTTGTGTTTGGATTAATTGCCGCTCATTTTGACACACAGTCACTTTTACAGGTTTCCTTGGTAAAGCATGCATGAAAATTCACATGGCACTATGCCCCCCCCCTTTTTTGCTGGCCAGCCCTACGTTTCTTATGCATAAGGATTCTTTATTCACACCTGTGGCAAAGCCTTGACTGTTTTTGTGACATCCTCTAGAATGAATTCATAAATCATTAGCCAATTATCAGAATGGTATTTTGCTTTCCCTTTTGTAAAATCTTATTTCTGTTGTTTCTGTACAATATTACACAATTATGAGGCTTATTCTTCCTTCCTGCTTTTTCTGTGCATATTATTCAAAATTAAATACAACTCCAGTTGAATTTTTTTAATGGGATAGTTAAACACTTATGCAAATCCTGCTCATTGAACTGTAATCCAAACTTCTGAACTGGAATTTACCTTCAAAAATTGGAAATTAGCAAATGGGGGGGGGGGGTACTAAGAGTTTTTAAAAAATGCATATATGCAATATTCTTACTACTTATTTCTGTTTAGATATTGTTTTTTTATCTTTTTAGAGCTGAGAAATCTCGGAGTTGGAAAGCAATCTTTATAGATACGTATGCTGATCTCGGAAGGTATATTCAAATTTATGCTACACTTAAAAAGGCCTGGGATGATTTAGAAAAATATCTGTTTCAGCGTTGTCCTCGGATGATTACTTCTTTGAAAGGTATTGTTTATAAGTTTGCTGTTTTATGCAACTTCAGTTGTACTTGCATTTTCTCTCTCTAAAGTTATCGTTTTAGATCAGTGTCAAGTGCCACTTAATGAACACCCTAGATTATTTAACTATTGCCAACATGCCTGTTAAGCTGAGAACAGTTCTGTCCTCCCCCTTTTTTATTTTAGCCTTCTTTGTGTGTGCTTAGCTGTCAATCTGGCATAGTGATCTAGAACAGGAAAAGGAAAACCAAATGGACCTCGAAAGCATAATATAGTAATGAGTGTGGTATTTTTCCCAAACTGTTAAATAATGTACAGTATCTGTAAACATGATGAAATTAAGGAAAGCTTAAGGACCCAATTTGTAGTGGGTTTTCTGACTTTGATGTGAATCGGTGCTAGCCTGTCCAGTGCGGACAGGCAAAACACTATTGAATTTTGCATTTTATTTTTGTTAATTCTAATTCCCAGTTTTGTACAAAGGCAAAAGTGCAGCAGCAATAGAGTTTTGAAGAAGTAGATATGAAAAGCACACACTGTGAGATTTGAGGAATGGTTTGAACAAGATGTTCTTACCCCTGAATGCTGCATCTTTCCATTAATCATTCAGCAACTGGTTTGTTGAGGGTGGGGGTAGAGATGCTCCTTAAAACACCAAAATGGGGTCCATGTGTGTGGATCTTTTCCCAGAGGTCTCACTGCTTTTCTGGAAATCTGAGAAGATTATGGGGGGAAAGGAGAATCCCTTTCAGCTGCGCTGAATTTCAAAGAGGTTTGCAAAGCAGCTATATGTCTCAATCTTATAGGCTTCTAGACAATGGGGGGCAACAGGAAGTCTTAACCCTAAATTCAGAGTTTTTTAAAAGCTCAACAAATTATTATTATTTTTTTAAAGCATTTCATTGTACTTTTGCACACTAATGAAGTGCAGAAATGTTTTTCAAAGCCTCAGGATCAGCTCTTCCTCCCCCACTTCTCAGAGGAGCTTCTTCAAATGACACCCACCCCCCGAGTCTGGAACATGCCCTGCCCTTTTCCTGCCTTTCTTCTTGTGGGGGGAAAAACAATAATACATGCTTTTAAAAGTTTAGTCAGTGTGCTAGAGCAGATGTGCATTCTTATCAAGCAAAACCAACCATATATTGCAAATGGTCTCTTATTTTTCTTGAGCAGCCAGTTTTGGAGCAGCTGTTTCGTTGTTCCTCTTTCCTTCACTATAGAGACATGCAAGGGGAATGTAACTCTAGTGCCATTTTAATTTCACTTGCAGCTGATAGTGTCTCAGCATTACTAAAAACCCTAGAATGGAAGCAGCCATACTAGGTGAGAATGATTGTTACTGTAGGCTTTGGAATACATGAATCTCTTTTGGGGTTACGAAGGGTTTGACACGACTAAATAACAAACATTAACACATGCCATTTTCTCTCTTATATGGCCCTTGAAAATTATTTATTCTCCTCCTCAGTAATAGTTGGCAAATATTTTAGCCACAAATTGCATAGGGCAGGAGAATCAGACAAAAACTGCTTCTGAGTCTGGACTACAGACTACTAGTTGGCCTTCCTTGTTTTACAGCATTGTGCCCCTATACAAATTATATGCTGTGGCTTGAATTAAGACAGACTTCTATCTCTGGTTTGTCTTAAAAAGAAGCCCACCACTTTGGAGTACATAGGTGTTTTCCAAAAGCAAAAGACATTATGCTTTTCGTGTAGTGTTTCTGACATAAGTATTAATGTCTGTTTCAGAAAAAGTAAACTGAAGAAGCCCTAGGAAAATATATGATTCTATACACAGTTGTCACACCTGCTGACTTGAATGGGGCTTGCTAAAGAGGTTTTAACATCACATCTTAAATAAGTTACTGCAAAATGCATTGTTTATATTGTCTGAAGATAATCTGCTAAATGGTATAGTTTTTGAATGCTCACAGAGAGTGTTCGGGAGGAAGATCTGGATGCTGTGGAAGCACAAATTGGTTGCAAACTCCCCGATGACTATCGATGTTCATTTCGGATCCATAATGGACAGAAGCTAGTCGTTCCAGGGTGAGAAGCTAACGTTAACTGTCATTGCTAATTGGCAGTCGGCCGCTACGTAAGCTTGCACATACTTGAAATTTGTTTCTTCCAATGGTTAATAATGTCTCCCCCCCCCCTTTTCTTTCTGTCTTTCCAAAGGTTGATGGGAAGCATGGCCCTTTCCAACCACTATCGCTCTGAAGATTTGCTGGACATCGACACAGCAGCCGGTGGCTTTCAGCAGCGGCTAGGACTGAAACAGTGCCTCCCCTTAACCTTTTGCATCCACACTGGATTGAGTCAGTACATGGCTCTGGAAAGCGTGGAAGGCCGCAATAGTTACGAGATCTTCTACCAATGCCCAGTAAGAAAGACTTGTAAATAGACACTTTAGGCAACACTAATGCTACTCATTATCTTCAGTAGATTAAATTGATGTAGTATATGTGTGTAGAATGCTTTAAAAAAATCTAAAATCAGCTGTCTTTCATCTCTGAGCTACTTCCCACCATCCACAAAAGGCCACATATATGTTCAAACATTCTAACTTGTGAAGGATAGGGGCTTTTAAATGGCAGCAATTGCTATAATTGCCAGGGAAGTGAAGGCTGATCATTAGGACCTGGAGCTGAGAGACAGGCAAAGCAGGGCTACTAGTGAAGAAGCTGGGGATGTGATGATGGGGAAGGAGGATCTTGCAAGTTGATTAGAAGTTTGCCTCCAAAAAAATGGGCTTCATACAAATGTGTCTAGTGCATAAAAATCAAACTTCACACTTTGAAATAATAGTAAGTTATTTATTAACAGTGCATGGGGGGGAATCAAAGTACCCTATTGTTGATAGCGGTACATAAAACACCAATTTGGTTTTTAACTACAGGAAGGGCCATAACTAAGTAGAAGAACTTCTGAAAGCTATCTAATATTAAAAAAAACACACATTAATATAAAGACTGTTTCATTGATACTATAATTTCAAAGAAATAAATCTAACTTTTCAAGTTGAGTTTTCTACCAAATTTTCATTGACGAGATGGGAACATAAAGTGACTTGCACAGATGAAACACTTAATTTTGCTCTTTTTTTACTACTGGTTATAAACTAATATTTTCCTGCAGTATTGTATGTTGCAAATGTCACCTGTAAATCCAGTTTTTAAGGATACAAATAAACTTTTTCCTTTTTCTTTTAAAGGATCAAATGGCCCGCAATCCATCTGCAATTGATATGTTTATTACAGGTAAAAGTATTTTGGAACTTAAATGGGAAACAATTTAGAGAAGTCAATATGAATTGGAATATGTCTGGAACTTTATCCACTTATCTCAGCATGCAGCATTTGCTCATTCTAGAACTTTTGCATGTTAGGGGACAAACTATATGTTAAACTGTGATCACGCGTAATATTGCAAGATGTTGGGAGAGTGCATTTATAAGCAGAGAATGAAAGTAAGCGTAACTCTTCAGGTGCTAGAATCCAAATCATATCTCTTGAAATCTACCCCCACAAGTTTGGTATTTGCAAGATAAGTTTGGGCACTAGCACTGTATCTAAAAGCAGCCAGGTGGTGGAAGATAAGAGCACATCCTTTCACTTCACTTCCATTCTCTGGCTTGGAGTGCCCTGTCTCGAGAGGGAGAAGGAAAAACCAAATCTTGGTTGCATTTGTTCGGCATTGCAATATGAAGTTTTGCTTGTTAAATTTTGCTGATACTCTGGGCTTCCACAATTTATTTATTTTTTTACAGTTGTAGAGGGGTAGCAAAACATTAAAAGGTGGGAGCACGCTCACAAAAAAAATTGAGAAGCATAGTGCCTGTACTTTTTGCTTATTGTTTCTAGAAAGGAAATATAGTTACTTCCCTTTGTTTTAAATGAAAGATGGGAAGCTAGGGATTATAGTTCAATATGATGGTGGTGAGGGCTCTGAATTAGAGTAACAGCAAGTCTAGGAATGCTGGATGTCACTTCTCCACTGCAAAGTGATGGGATGATGTGCAGGGAAGAAGTAGGTGTTAGAGGAGTGCTTAAGTCGTCTTCCTCCTGGGTTTCCCAGATTCATGTTGGCTGCATCGGCTGGGGAAAGCACTTGGTGAGAGGATTATGCAGACCCTACCAGCCAGCTCATGCAAATTGCTTTTCATCCCACCTTTCCGCTTTGTCTTAGAGAAGTAGTAATCAGGGTTTCTCAAGCTTGCACTTTCTGCAGTTCTTGTAGCTCAGTTTTTGAGCAAAGCAGCTGCAGTAACACCATCAGGCCTTCTGTTTCATAGACCTGTGATATGTAATTGAGGCATAATTACCTTTCAAAGCTTACAGTAAATCAAAAATAGCATGCTCAGAGGATCAAGGATGGGAACAGAAGTTTAACAAATGGAACCATCTATGCACACACATCTCTCAAACCTTTTTATTTGTGTTTTGCATTGGGAGGAATGATGGTTTATTTGTATTTTAAAAACAAGAGCCAGATTCAATTAAATAGTTGTACCAGTATAGTTGTACCAAATAGGGACCCAGTGTGATGTGTCCCCTAGCACAACAAGGCTCCTCCTTTCTTCTTCCCCTGTGCTCTCCCAGTTGACTCTGGGGGAGGGGAGCCGGGGGGGGGGGGAAATCCCAGAACAATTTGTGGGGCAAGAAGGGGGGAAATTACTCCATCTAGTAAGAGGAAATGTTTGCTGATACCAAGATACTGAATTCTTCCTACTATCTTGCTAAATGTAACAATGCATTTATTGCCATCTATAGTGAAATGAAGCTTCTTAGTAAAATGGAATGAGTCAAGCTGATCTGTAAGGAAGTATGGGTATGGGACAAACAAGTGGGAACTTCCTTTTTCTCCCCTGCCCCAGTTTCATTCAGATTTTTGAGTTCTGGACTTAGATGAATGAGCAGCTTCTGCTTGCCTAGTCCTAAACCTCAGCACTCTAGTGCTATAGTGCCTTACCATGTACTTGAGACTGCTAATGGTCAGAGCTAGGTGACCACCACCTGAACTGTTCTTTGTTTTGTTTTGTTTTTAGTCATAGCATATGTAATCGGCATACTGGCCTTTTTATGACCTTGTGAAATGTTTCTCCCCCTTTGCCATTAGGTAGCTCCTATTTGGAATGGTTCACCTCCTATGTAAACAATGTAGTAACAGGTGGCTATCCCATCATCAGAGACCAGATTTTCAGGTATTATGGCTTTGGTTTACAATCTGTGGTACAGATTACAAAATGTATTACAAAATGTATTACAAAATGTAATAATCTTAAACTTGTAACAAAAATAAATTATCATCTTATAATATTTGTTAGACATGTATGTGAGAATGAGGTAGTAAAGCAAAGCACACTTATTGTTTACAATAATAACATTGTAATGTTAGCAATACATTTGCACTATGTTCTGCAGAAACAGATATAGTCTAAATGGCATTAAGCAGGTGCAGAGAATGCCTTCTCTTATTATGGAGAGAAATAGATGCACAAATTGTAAGGTGAAAGTTGGTTTTATACAAATGAATTTTTCAGTATTTGTTTATTCTTTAAACTATCAGACAAGATAATGCCTTTTTCTTTATTTGCTAGATACGTTCATGACAAGAGTTGCGTAGCAACAACAGGAGATATTACTGTCTCTGTCTCCACATCTTTTCTACCTGAACTCAGTTCTGTACATCCACCTCACTATTTCTTTACTTACAGAATCAGGTAGGAGCAGTAAATGAATGCTGATTTTATCAATGTGTTACTGACACATCTTGAAGCTTTCTTTGCTCACTGGCAAAATTCTAAACGACCTAAAATATAAACTAGTCCTTCCAAAATCACAATTTATCAGTAAGAGATAAACAGTAAGAACGGGAAAATGTTGAATGCTTTTTACAAGACTGCACTGAAGTTACTTCTTTGCTTTTGACTTCCTTTTCTGTAGTGTTCTATAGAACATATTCTTTCTTCTAACTTCTGTTCAATTGTTATTTTTCCTGTGTAATAATTACAGGATCTAGATCTTCCCCCTTAGGGTAGTATTTCTTGGGCAGTCAAATTGCTACATTGTGTCAGAGAAAAACATGACTCTTATGCCCCTGCTAATGAGTATTGTTTGTAATGTGGTCAGACGAGTGTCACAGCTATTTCGTTCCACCTCTCAAGGCCCTAAAACAGTTAAAATATTCTGGATAGTATTTTAAGGAAGGTAATAGTTTTTGGCTAGTGCTTTTGCTCTCTCACTAAAATGAGTATTTTGCCTAATTTTTTAGAATTGAGATGTCCAAAGATGCTCTTCCAGAGAAGGCTTGTCAGCTAGACAGTCGGTACTGGAGAATAACCAATGCCAAAGGTGATGTGGAGGAGGTGCAAGGTCCTGGAGTAGTAGGTAAGGAATATTTAAAGAATGTAATTGTTTTAAAAACAACAACAACAAATGCAGGGTGCAGTTAGAGGAACCTTGATCCTTTTCTTCTCAGCCATGATTCCAATCTAAGCAACCATCGCTGCCCCCGCTGTGTGGCAATTACACTTTTTTAAAAAAGGTTTCTTTGTTGCAAGTGGACCATCACTGAGGAAGGACTGAAAAAGAAGCCTGCAACAGTGGGATGAAAACGAAAGAGACATTCTCTCCTTTGCTTCCCTGCAACAGCACATGGAGAGGGAATGAAGGAGGGGAAGGCTTTCTACCCTTTTCCCTGCTGCTGCTGCTGCTGCTGCTGCTGCTGCTGCTGCTGCTGCTGCTACTGCTGCTGCTACTGCTGCTGCTACTGCTACTGCTACTGCTACTGCTACTGCTGCTTCCTTCAGCAAGGAGCGGGGAGAAGGAAGGGGAGAAACGTTTGGTGGGCAGTGGCATCAGAGCAGGATGATTTCTTGGGAGCTGCCCCAGACTGTCCTGCCTGTTGCTCTGTGGCTTATCTGAGGTGGCTGCCACACTTACTCACCTGCTTGCTTGGCCTGCCTGCTCACTCGCTCTGTCTTCCTGCCTGCCTGGGCCTCACACCAACTGCCTATCAATAAGCCATGCAAACTGCAGCATGGCAGCACCCTTACAATTTTATACTAAGATTAAAATCTATAATAGTATAGATTGCTCGCTCTTTGTTTCTTCGAAGCCTGTGGCACAGTTCTAAGGGCCAAACTACACATTACAATAAACATGCTGTTTAAAAAAGCGTGCTTAAACTGGCCAGTTTTATTGGGGCAAAGGGGAGTAGTTTTGAGGCCCTGCACTGAAACTTGTTCTCAGTCTAAATTGGAGCCCAGTTTTTGGGTGAAAAACACTCCCCCATGACCATGGCTGATAAACTGCCCCATATATGCTGTTTGCTGTATAAATATCACATTTGAGGGCAAATAGCAGTCAAGAGGGTGGGTTTGTTGTTTGTTTGTTTGTTTGTTTGTTTTTGTCAAGAAACTGGTATGGGGCCTGTATTGGAACCAGTCTTGTGGCTGCATTTCTTTTAGAAATAAAAGTGACTAGTTGTAAGCACACTTTTTTAAAAAGTTCATTGCAATGTTAAGTTTGATCCTAATTGAAGTATTTTTGGTTCCAGAGGTTGAAGTCCTCTGTTAATTTTGTTTCTACAGGAGAATTTCCCATAATCAGCCCTGGTCGGGTTTATGAATATACCAGCTGTACGACATTTGCCACTACTTCAGGGTACATGGAAGGATACTATACATTCCATTGTCTCTACTATAAAGACAGATTTTTTAATGTTACCATTCCTAGATTTCATATGGTTTGCCCAACGTTCAAAGTATCTACAGCTCGCATGGTAAGTTAAAATGGATGTTTTTAGGCCTTAACTCTTCTCTTTGGTTTCCAGAAAACAATTGGATTTTGTGTTTAAATATAAATAGTGATCTCCTTTTTGCATAAAACTAGGTTAATAGTTTTTAGAAGCTATAAGGTGAGTAAAGTAAAAAAATACCTAGTTTAAAAATGTGTGTGCTCAAGTATCATACTTGTTTCTTTATCATTTATGAGCGAAGATGCCGTGAGGGGATCGATAACAACTTTCTCATATATGGGATTATGAAATGTGTATAAAGGTCCTGGAACATTTGGGGAAAGCCCAAGTAGTAAAATGTCTTTTCTGACTGCTTGTTTTGTTGTTTTTTGCTTTGCTTTGCTTTGTTTTTTGAGTAATGCTCAGTTTGGGGAAGAACAAATATATTAGATATATTAATAATTTGATATTGCCTACATATTATATAACTGCACTGCTGTTTATGTGCTAAATGAATAACATAAAATAAGTGGGAACTTATTGCTGGATAGAAACATTATTTTGTCTTATATTTAGTTACAGCAGATCATTTGTTCTGCTTTGCTTGTTCAACCTTTGTCCATGTTGTCAACAGACACATTATGTGCCTTGTCTTGAAAATAGTTTGAACATTGTTTTCCACAAACGACAGGGGATAGGACATTTTTAAGCATTCCAGGAAAGCTATTGTCAGAATACATGTTTTTATAGAAGAGTGTTTGGATGGGCATTCCACTTTTTAAAATGCACTGTCTACTTGGATATCTTATTTTAAAATTGAGCCTTTGACTGCTCTTACTGAAAAAAACTGTAGATGGAATACAGGACTTACTTTTAATTAGAAATATTTATAGACTGCCTTTATGAGTAGAACTTTTTGGCTTACACACAAAGTAAAAAGTTTTCAGTGGTAATATGATAAAATACCATTTGTACTGGATTCATATTCAGTTTGTCCAAAATACACTTAGCAGACGAATCATGTTATATCTTGGCTCCTTTTCTGTAAAATGAGAGTAGCTTGGCCTTCCTATAGAGTCCAATGATATAAGGCTGTTAATCACTTTACACAATTGGAATAGGCACGTTTAGTACATTCTCCCCAGTGTTGTGTGTGCTACAATTTGCTAAGAATGGGTGAAATCCAACAGTGTCAGCGCACTTGCACAAACTCCCCTTTTCTTTCCTGCTGCTGCTCCCTGCATGCCCCCAGAATCTGTTGTGTCCACTGGCATTGTTTTAGAACTTGCCCAATGCCTACTAAAGAACCAAAGAAGTGTCCTGCTGTCTAGTGTCTAATATATAGCATAATGCTATCTTGAATGGCTGTGACAGGAATTACAGCCCAGCCCCCGGCTTTCTGTTGGGTAACACTTTGGCAAGCTGTTGGAAACCAGATATAGTTGTATAAATGCCATAACAATTACAAGAGATGTTAAAGTATTTTACTTTTTCTGTGGTACTCATTGAACCTTTTGTTCGTTTAATGCACCTTGATAAACATGATCACATTTAGTTGGGGTAGTTTTGCAAGGAAACTTTGTCAAAGAGCTTACCTATATTACTTCTGTTCCTGCATTTAGGAAACCAATCATAACGAATGCGCAATGGATGAAGACGAAGACTCAACAGATACTGATGAATATGAAGACAGACGCAGAATTCTGGACATCCCTGTTCCTTCTGGACGGGGACGTTGTCCGCGTCAAACTTGAGCAAACTTCCAGAAAAACAAAACAAAGACCTATTGATTCTGCAGAAAATATTTCTGTGGAAGATACCTTGTAAAAATATTTCTGAATATTAAGTCATTATTTGGCAGAGGAGCAACTAGCATGAGTGCTGGTTCTGGCTTGCATCTGAGCAGATTATACAAACAGGGTTCTCTTTTGTCATGTGTTTGCTTCTCGAAAGAGAATATGTTGGGTAGAGGTGGGAATACAGTAGTGTGGTGAGCTATATTCTTCCAAAAAGCTTTGCAGTTGAAAGTAATCATTGTACATTTAAACTTCCTTAAAACCAGAATGGTGCTGCCCATTTTTCTTTCCGTTCCTTTTTTTAATTAAAGCAGCAAACAAAATGGAAAATTAGGCATGTCATTTTCACAATGATTTTGTATTACTATTTCATCTCTTGACATATGTGAATGAAATAACTGAAGTTAAATATGTATAGCCATTGGGACGAATATGTATGTTTTTAATGGAACACTCTGAAATGTTTGAAAGGGAGCTGGTCTAATGTTTTAAATCCTGCATCATGCGCCTTTTTGAACATGGAATATGCATATTGCCTACTGCATTTCTTCATTTATTATATAATATAAATATGTAAATAGCTTGATTTTCCTCTTCAACTGCCATTTAACTATTGTGATACGTGTTTAGAATTTTAAGTATAAACATGTTTTCCTGAACACTAAATGGTTTTCTTTATAACTGTCTCACTAAAAATGAAGAGAACTTGAAATAAGTATTAACTGGAACATTTACATTGATGGGTATTAATATATATATATATAGCAAAGGACAGGTGAGATGTAGTTTCGTACAGCAGTTGCACCATTCTATAAAGTAGTGGGGGCTTTAGGCTGCAATCACATACACACATACCTGGGAGTAAATCCTATTCTACTCCCGGGTAGACATGTCTAGGACTGTACTGTTAAGCAGCGGTGGTAGAAAGGATTCACCTGTAATAAAACTGGAAAATCTGTCATAGACTTCTATGCCAGGATAGGGACCTGTAGGGACCTCCAGATGTTGTTGGGACTACATGTCCCATCATCCCTGGAAATGCTGCAGATTGAACCTTGGGCCTTCTTCCCGCAGTGCAGACGATACACAAATAAGCTATAGCCCTTCACTGATAGTGTGGCTCAGATGTTTTCCAAATGATTTATAATTAGGTTTTACCAACTTGTACTTGGTACATAAGATTGGGGGGGGGGTAAAAAGAAAAGTAAAATTCATAATTAAGAAAATATCAAATTGATACTCCTAGCTGAAGTAAACTGCAACTATAATTTCCCAAAAGAGTGAACTTGTTACATTGTGGAAAGCGTTTGAATTTTCTCAAAGCCATAGTTGTATAATACAAACCCTACAATAATTAGGTTGTACATTTACAGCATAATCTACAGCAAAGGGAATCCAGGTAAAGTCAGGATGCAGTTTTTTAAAGTATTCACTTATGATTCTGAAAATATTTTAATTAGCTTATGAACTTGTTTTTCCTCCTTCTTTTGGCTAGAACAAAAACAGTACTTATCGCAGATGGTGATTTGGGAAAGGGGGTTGAAATAAACCAGCATCTCTGATTTGTTTCCCCCCTTGTGATTACAGGAAGGAGCAAAACAGCCATGATCAGTTTATGATGACATTTACCATGACATGCTACCAATGCCTATCAGACCCCTTTATCCTATGAGATGATACTTTTACTGAGGCTAGATAACCTCAGTAAAAAAAAAATAAATCCTCATTCCAGGAGGTTTAAGATATTTCCCTATATATGTTTGTTTACATGTCAGTTGAGTGCTAAACTTCAGGAGGAAGTAAGCTCTACAGAAACTTTTGCTGTATGTAGTAAACCTGACAATGCTGAAGGTCCATACTATTCCCAGTTCCCATAACTGCATACAGCCAACTTGAGAAGGGTTTGAAGTTTATATGCCCAGGCACCTTTTTATATACTGTAGGGCTACCTCATGTCATCCTTATCTTCCTTATCCCAGTAGGTAACTGTTCTTAAAGTTCTTTGAATATCAGAAGCTAGCATCCCATCTGATATACAGTGGTACCTCGGGTTAAGAACTTAATTCGTTCTGGAGGTCTGTACTTAACCTGAATCACCACTTTAGCTAATGGGGCCTCCCGCTGCCGCTGCACGATTTCTGTTCTCATCCTGAAGCAAAGTTCTTAACCCGAGGCAATATTTCTGGGTTAGTAGAGTCTGTAACCTAAAGCGTATGTAACCTGAAGCGTATGTAACCCGAGGTACTACTGTATACCATGTGCCTTACCCATCCTTTCTGGAAGCGAGCATATATGTTAAAAACAAGCTTTCCAATCTGGATAAAAAGGTCTCTGATGTAGGTGTTTTATTGCTTTCAAATACATACAGTATTCAAAACCAGTTTGCTCTCAGTGTGGAGGCAGCGTTTAGCCTAGGTAAAGGGACCCCTGACCGGACCCCTGACCATTAGGTCCAGTCGTGGCCGACTCTGGGGTTGTGGCGCTCATCTCGCCGACATTCTGATAGGCAAGTCCTAGGCGCTGTGGTTTAACCCACAGCCTAATTAGTCTTAATTCTCAAAGGCCTTTAAGTTGGAAAAAGTCCTTTCCTCTGCCTGTCCTGAATCGTCTTAACATTCAGCTTCGGTGGCTGGCCATGAGTTCTAGCCTTAGGAGGGAGAAAACCTTTTTTCTGTATTCTTCGCACTTTTAAGCAAATTAAAACCCCACCGTGCTGCCTCTCCCTCGCCTTTTCCCTGAACTAAAAAGTCCCCAATGCTGCAGCCTTCCTCAAAGGGGAGCCGCTCCATCCCCTTGTTGGCTCGGGTGGCCTTTCTCCGCTCCCCAACTCGACAATATCCTTTTTGAGGGGAGGCAACAATGCCTGCGGTTTTATTCCCAAGCCCAATTTGCCACCCTGACGACGACGACGACCCCCTCCAGGCCGAGCCCGCTCCGCCCCGCCCTCTTGTCGCTTTCCCCTCTCGCTCGCTCCCAGCATTGAAACACATATTTCGCTGCTTCGGCCGCTCTCCGCATTGCCGCAGACCAGCCTCGCCGCGCGGGAGGCGGAGCGTCCTGGTGCCCGAGAAGAAGCGGCGCGCTCTTCTGGGCGCGAGGGAAACCGGCGGGCCAGGATTTTGCTGCAGAGGGATTGCGGCGGAGCGTCGAGCTGCGGGCAGGAGGGTGAGCGGCGGGCCGGGCACTTGGCGCGCGAAGGGCTGGTTTCGAGGGCTTGCCCTCCGTTTCCCCCCTCAGGATTCGTCATTTAATCGCTTTAATCCCGCTCGGAAGGTGGGGAAGGGACACCCCCAGAGCAGGCGGGGCAACTCGCTGGGTCTCCGGAGAGGATAGGGATAGGGGCGAAATGAGCCTAGACTAAGCAGGTTGCATTTAGGGGTTAATTTTGCGGGGAAGGGTAGGAGACCAGGGAGCAGAAAGCATCCTCTTCAACTAGGGTTGGGAGAGACCCTCCCTTCCCCAAAGGCTGGGGAACTGCTGCCGGCCAGTGTAGGCAATACTGTGGTAGGTGGGGGGTCGGAGTTCGCAACGGGATGGGTGATGCGTGTGGCGGGCGGGGGGCGTTGGGTGTGCATCGACTACATTGGGCTCCCGTGCTTTTTGCTGTGTCCGTTCAGAAGCGATTCCATTCAGTGGGTGCAGCTTTCCAAACCTTTGTCTCCCCATTGGCATGAGAAGGCGACCCTGCCAAACAGCCCCGCCCCAAAGCGCCCTTCCTGTTGTCCGAGACCGTCCTAACTAGGGTCTGTCCTCTTGCTGCTTTCTGCGGGTCGCAAAGAGAATTCTCTCGGGATCGTGGAAGGAGCACGTATCTAAGACTGCAGAGGCAGTGCTGAAAGATAAAAGATGCTCTGCCTGCATCAAAGCCCTGGTTCTGGTCCCCTTTCCCATGATCTAAGGTCACCTGATACATTGCTGCTCCCCAATAATTCTAGCTTTGGTAACGTGCCAAATTAGGATCTTGTATGTCTTTAAATACCCCCTCTTCTCTGTTTAGTATGGTGGTGCTGTATAGTGATAGAAACTGCAGGGAGCTGGCCAAAGTTAATCAAGGCACTTCATGTTTTCTTCCTGTTAACTCATTGCTTTTCCTAGTGTGAAAGAGTGGGTCGTTTTCTCTGAGAACATAAAATATCACTGAAACATAAAGTAATGGAATCTCCTAGAGCAATTGCTCTTAGTGAGCCAAACTGTGTGTATGTTTTTAGCATGTTAGAAGGCAGAATTCCCACCCCAAAATTTTGGTGTTCCAAGTGGGAGTTGGCAGAAGTCTGTAAAATTAGTTCAAAATAGCAACAACAACAAAAAGAAGAAGTCTGCAGCTGTATCCACCCACATGGCATGTTTGAAGCTGAGGACTTTGGCTGGGAGGGTATGTGTGATATGTTACGGCTCTGCAATGTAGTCCACTTTATTATAGAAAATATAGTACAAATTTTATACTATTCAAAATTCAATACTGTATTCACAGAAACATCGTAATCTAGAGTTGGAAGGGAACCCAAGAGTCATCTAGTCAACCCCCCCCCCCATAGTGCAGGAATCCTATCTAAATCAGTCATATGTTGAAGGCAGATTAATACTGGCATCTGAAAAGATCTGTATAAGGTGCCAAATGAATATCTACCCTCAGGTTTACAGCAGCAGCAGCAGCAGCTAGTAACATCTGGATCTCCAAAGCATCCAGCGTCTTCAGTACTGATAGAAGTTCATTCAGAATATTTTCGTAGCTGTCCTTTCTTTCCATCAGGTTGCTAAAAAATTTTTTGGACCGCCTCACCTTTCAAAACGAGAGCATTAGCAAACCAAAATACAGAAGGCATTTTTAAAAATGAAGTCTAGGACTACTTTATTGCATATGCTTCTAAAAAGGGAATATAATTGTCAGCCACCATCAACACATGGAATGTTGTGGAAGGATACATTGCGAGGAACTCAAGGTGAAGCAGAAGGGCTGGACACTTGACTTGACACCATGTTCACATCACTGCTTGGATTACAGGGCAGTTGATAACACTGCATATTGTACTTACACTCTTATTTGTTTTGGTTCGCTTACTTGTTCAGTTAAATAATTAACAATAAAAATGGAACAGCAACAAACAACAACAACAAATCACAAGTCTGTACACTTGGCCATCTTCACAGTGGAAACGGACCAAAAACCTTTTAGAGAGCATACTCAAAGTGCCTGCCATTTCAGTACCACCAATCCCTCAATGTATTATTCTGAAACTGCAAGGGTACAAGTGCTCTGGAGGTCAGAACCCAAACCAATGGATCCAAATGACATCAGGAAGAACTTTCTGACATTAAAAGCTGTCAACAGTGCAACAGACTCCTTCAGAAGGCGGTAGATTCTCCTTGCTGGAGGTTTTTAAGGCAGGATTCGATGGCTATCTTTCAGTGATTCCTGCATTGCAAGAGATTGGACTAGATGACCCTCAGGGTCCCTTCCAACTCTACACTTCCACAATTCTATGATTCTAAGTACTGTATTGTAAAATACAAACCTGGAAAAGGGATCTTGATTGCAGACCTCCATTATCCAACTTAATCGAAAGACGGGATGCTTAAGAGGAGACGTACCAAGAGAACAAGTGCACATCTGTGACAACAACCCACATTTTGAAGAGTTAAATGCTTGTAAACTAGATCTGAAACAG